TTCAAGGAAGTCAATAACAAGTATATAAAAACAAAACAAAAGGTCGATCAAATCCACCAAATTACAAAGTAGGAATCAGCCCTGGAGGAATCAGGGCGATAGGCGAAAGGGAACATCCATTATGAAATCATCTGCCACCTGGGCAACTTCACAATTTACACCTTCTTTTTTTCCACTTTAACCTTCCCAATCTCTCTTCCTAATATAAAATATACAAAATACCTTGGCATCCTGTTTAAGACCGAAGTCCAAGCCTTTTCCGACTCGTCACATCTTATCACACTAGCCTTCCTCCTCGGCTCTTCCCAAAGTTTCTCTGTTCATTCGGACAATCCGGGGCAACTCACGGACCTCCGATGAGAGGCACCGTTAAGACGCATCAATCACTTTCAGGGCTAGACTTTTGTACTCATTCCTTAGTGGTGTTATTCTGACTGGTCAGTACCAGTGAGGGTTGTCCATTTTCAGCCTTGAGAAACTTGATCTACGTCTTCCTATGCCGCTCCCTCCTATTACCCGGTCGCCGCAGGCAGCCTCCCCCATCATTTCTCTGCTGTCGATCACAGGGATCCAGCTGTGAAGAAAAAAAAGAGAGAAAGAGAGAGGGGAGAGTCCAAAAATTTCACATTATGCCAACTTACCCTATCCGTCGCCGCCCGCGCGAATGCAAAACCTGCCTACCTTGTCGAGCAAGCAAAGTCCGCTGCGATCGCAATGTCCCCTGCGGCAATTGCACTAAACGAAACTTCACCTGCTCCTACGGTCGTCCATCTTCTGCGAAACAACCTATTCCTCCTACAATCGTCACTACCTCCTCCACCCCATCACAGCAACCCACCTTTACCTCTCCCACCATCCTCCCATATACCAGCTCAGCTCCCACAATCGCTGGCTCATATGCAACCGATCGTCCTTCGAGCGCCAGCGTCGATCCAGATTTACCGGATATAATTGATATTTCCCAGGCGGAATGGGATGAAATCAATAGCAAGATGGTCGCAATGGAACAGATCCTCGGCAGTCTGCACTCGCTCTTCCAGACACACTCGACTCGCAAACCGCCAGAACCAGAACCAGAACCAGAACGAATTGAACGAAGAGCTTCCACCCGGTCGGAAGGTGTCTACGGGTCGAATGTCTTGAAGACGGGTGCGGTCCATCTCGGGTCGCGGTCGGCCCTGGTTGATATCCTGGATAAATCGAAGAGGTCAGAGGACACAGCGCAGGCGCTGCCTCAGGACGATCTTCTTGCTGAACTTGCTTTGGGAAATGAGTCGGCTGCATATCCATTTGTGGATTTGTGGTCCTCTGATCCGTTCACATTCAATATCGCGGGTGTTTGTGCGGTTCTTCCGGAAGACGGACGGTGTTTGGAGTGAGTTGGAGATTTGGGGTGTTCTGAGATGCATGCTAATTCCAATTGTCAGATTCCTGGCGTTTTACCAAGATATAGGATCAGTTTTATACCCAGTCCTTTCGGACATCCCACAATTAGAACGACAAACCAAACGACTGCTCGATAATCGACGGCGAGCAGGAGGTCTCTATAAAGCCGATGCCAACGGATTAGTAAAACCATTCGACATGCCGTTGGCTTTTCTCAGTCTGCTTTTTGCGGTTCTTGCGTCGGGTTGCCAGTTGTCTGACATCCCCGAAACCGACCGTGAGTTGACCTCATGGGTATACGGTGCGTCACATTCTAGGAAGGTCTGGGGTGATGTACTGACTTTCTTCAGTTTCCTGTGCGTATCAATGTCTTCGGATGTTGAATTATGTATCGCAACCCACTATAGAAGTAATTCAGATTCTTCTCATCATTAGCAATGTACTTTCATATAATATGAATGCAGGTGCCTCATATACTTTGCTTGGTACGTGTTGAATATGTCCAATGAGATGATCGAGCTAACCGATATCAGGTATGACGGAGCGAATGTGTCTTGTTCTGGGGCTCCATGTTGAGTCGTCCGGGTTCTCATTTGCAGAACAGGAAGTGCGAAGGCGTGTCTGGTAGGTATCCTTTTTTTTTTTTTCGTCTCTCTCTTTTGGTGGATCTCAAAGCTCACATTTGTCAGGTGGACAATGGCCTTCCAGAACAGCCATTTCTCACTTGCCTATGACCGACCATCCATCACCATGGTCAGCCAACCTGAAATTCCATTCGACCCCAAATCAATGCCGGGCCATCGCTCATACTTTGAGACTCTCTGTCGCATTGTATCCTTGGCATTGGAAGTCCTGCGGTCACGTATGTATCCCGGATCGTCTCAGACACATATCCACGAGATCCGTGAGTATAAGCAACAGATCCACCGCATGCTCACTGAAGCGACTCCTCATCTACGGTATCGAGGCAACTGTCGGTCCCTATCCGATCATATCGAGCGTACCGAATTGCGCCTGCACTCCTCGTATCTTCTCTCTGTGTTATGTCGTGTCTCGCTCGACCCACATTCCCATTTGGAGCCACCACGTCGTGCAATGATCCGCGAAGACTGTATCGGCAGCTTGATCAACACAATCGAAGCGTTTGTCGAATTGCACGAGATCAATTCCCACTGCTCCCGGTCCTGGATCAGTCTGCAGCGAAGCATTGCATCGGCGTTTTTGCTTGTCGCAAATGACGACAGTCCCCAGACCTGGCAGCTGATCGATAGGCTGGAGATGGTTCTGGCGGACCATGTATATGAAGAGGGGGACCTGGACCATAACAACCGCACCGACTCTGCCAAACATCTGTCTTCGTCCCTCCGTGCTCTGCGTGAGATTCGCGAGGCCTTCAGCGCTCCCACGGGTAGTTCAGCAGGACAACCATCGAGCACAGCATATTCTCCCCTTGTGTTGCCTTCCTCTCCCTCTCTTGAACCTAGTCCCAACATGCCATCTACCGCCAATGCAGGTTTGCAGCCGATGGAAGGTCTGAGTATGCGGAATATCCTTGGTCGTGTTTCGGATGTGATGTTGTTCCCCAGCATGAGTGGGGACCACCCAGTAGTGTAACCCTTCACCTACTTCTTGTTTTGTTTCCCAGTGCTGGCGTTTGAGGAACATGGGGAGATCGGGAATATATAATTCCTGGGCATTTCTATGAGGTTAGCATCTTCACCGCTATATACTTACCACCCTTCCCCAACCCCGTAACCCCGTGGGGAAGAATGATATTACCAATATATGAATCTCTCTAACATGTATGGGAGGTGCTGGATATTTGCATTGAGGCTTGTTAGAAGTAGAAAGTAGGAAGTAGAAAGTAAAAAGTGAAAAATCGAAACTCCATAGAATTCGGCAGATCTTCTTAGATGCCTCTCTCCTAGTCCGAATGCCGGCAGTTTCAGTGATTCGGCCGACCGATCATGACCTACCTAGGTATGTTGTAGTAAGGACTTTATGTACATATATGTACTTTATGTGTCTCAAACCAAGGCCGAATCTGATGCCTCAGCTTGTAACTCCGTATCTTCCAGTCAAGAAGAAAAAGAAGGATAAAAAGGGAGGTGGAGTCAAATGAGATTCTGCGGTTCGGCCGGCCGAGTTAAGCCCGACTGTTTAGGGTTTACGGAGTAGACTCTACATAACTACGTAGTTATATTATATTTACATATGTATCCCTATTTAGTTACAACACACTGGTATGGAATGGAGTACGGAGTAAGTAGATTAGTTTTTACTGCACCATTTGTCACTATCCAGAATATCGTCTGATGGTACGGAGTACTTATGGCCGATCCACTTAGAACCTGTTTCGGAGTGAGAGCCTTGTCCACAACCACGAGGTCAATGGGGATTATGGGGTGATGTGGAAGATCTAGGCTTACCAGGGCTGACTGCCTCGTATGACATTTTGACATTTGGATCCTTTAGATCCTTCTTGTTTATTATCTGATGTCTCGGGTGATTCGGTATCAAGTCCAATTTGCAAGTGTACTCCGTACATCGTATGTAGTTACATATTAACTAGTTAGTTAGTTATGTATGTTGGCTGTAGTTAGATATATAGATTCCTTTTTGGGTCATTTCAATATAGCATAGTCCTAGGGGTTTGGTGCATCCGGGATTGCCGGTATATATATTTCGGATCTGTCGGGTATCTCGGCCTCCTGAACTATGACTATTGCTTTTCATTTAGATATTCTAGTTACATTATACATTATACATTGTAGTTGTAGTTGTTTAGAACTCCTGTTTTACTAAAAGCCCCCTTGAGAGAACTGTAGGTCATAGCTTAGGGAGGTCCCAATAGTGACTATTTCACTCTTAGAAACGAACGTGCAGCATATGAGTTCAAGTGGTTCATGGTAAACACATTGGCTTTTCTGAGTGAATAAGAACTAATATTGATATTGTTGTATGTACTAATCTTAGGGGACTTGAAGGGGTTGAATAGAGTGGCCCATGGAAGGAACCCTTGGGAGTAACTTTGATGCCCAACGCTTCTGGGCTGGTCGAGTATGGAGAATCAGTCCAATGCCCTAAAATGGATTATTATTCCAGTTGAATCTTTTTACCATTTGATAAACATTTGCTACATATAACATGGTACTTTTATCCAACGCTGTGACCCGATTTCGACTCGGTTGACCTGCATTAGCCTGGACACCACAAATACGATCATATCTTGAAGCACGACATGATCATTATCACAATGTTACACACATGCCTGCATACAAATCAAACAAATGAGTGACCAAAGTAGAGACAAGTGCTTGATAGTAACGCGATCAACATGTTTGGATTATTCTTCAAATCCGAGGATCTGGGAATTTACTCAAGAGATGTCTTATTTTAATGTCGACGTGAGGTCATTGCGCAAATGCACCCATCCGCGTCGAGAGGTATGTGCTCCCGAGGTCATATACCCATGTACTCACCGCTATATAGTACATCGTACAAAGACCCGAGCAGTTTACCTTGTGATTCTCCCTTCAGATCTATCATCAATCCGAGACGACTTAATCTATGAAATATCTCGCTTGCAAGAAAAATACGGAATAATAGCATCAATGTCATCATCGGAAGTCCCCTGCCCCGCATGCAAATGGACCCCAGATCAGCAAAGACGCTGCGCCTACGAAAGTAGCGTGCGCCTCTTCTACGGAGCCAGCAATCGAGGCTACTGGTCCCTCGGTTCAAAATTTCTGCTCAAAGAACGCGGGAAAGATCCCCCTAGCCATGAGGTCATCAACACTCATTTCATCAAAGAGAATACCACCATTCCCGTCCCGACAACCGTGCAGGAGTGGACCGAGGGTGAGAAGTATTTCCAGATCGTCGAGCGGGTGCCTGGGGTACCGTTAGAGGAGATCTGGTCGTCAATCCCCCAACCCGACCGGGAAAGACTCGCTCGTCAAACTGCGGAGTATCTGGGGCAGCTCCGTTCGTTCCACTCCGTTAAGATGGAAAGTCTCCATGGCCAACCGATTTGGTGTCCTCATCTCTTCCACAATGATGAATTTGGGGTTACACATGGGCCATTGAGTACGACTGACGAGTTGTGCGATGTTTTGATGGAATCTCTAAGCGACAAGGTACCGGAAGTTGTGAGATTGCGGCTCCGTGACCGCATGCCTTCTCCTCACCCGTGGACTTTTACCCACGGAGATTTGACCAACTGCAATATTATGGTGGATCCAGACAACTTTGAATTGAGAGCTCTGATTGATTGGGAGGGCTCGGGGTACTTACCTGTGTGGTGGGAGTTTATGGGGGGCTAGCTTCGGGTTCGGTGAGGATGACCTAGAATGGAAACGTCTGCTACTGGGAAATATGACCAATCAGAAAGAGGCTCGTACTTGGTTTCTGGAATATAGGTCGTTTGAATCACGTTCGAGAGATTCAGAGACGCGATTAAGGGTGCTAAAGGAATGTGGCATTATGGAAGATATAGAGATCTAGGTAGTACGAAGTATACAGTAGGGGCAACTAGGGTCCAGGTAGAATGGAAAAAAAAAGAAAGTAAATAGTAAACAGGGAATAAAAGATGACCGCTCAAGCCTTCCAAGTCTAGACATTCGGCGATCTCAACTTCTTTCGTCTAGTTAAAGAGTCCTGAAGGACAAAGTACGAGTTGCCGATTGTAGTTTTATATACGATGTATACGTGAGATCTACTTGATTCTCGAGAATAATCTCCCATTGCTTGTTAATTTCCAAATATAAACATCAATATAAACAAAAACAGAATCGAAAATAGGAGATTCAAGTCTGATGTATGGGAATTGCGAAGCTTTTGGTGGAGATGATGAGCAGTGTGCCCCATGTCGTTCTTTTCCTCTTTGAGCATCAAGTCCGAACCTCCCCCTCATTTTCTTGTTTCTCAATTTTATTCTTCACTCATTTTGGACCTATGCTGTACTCCATCTACTCCATCTAGCTATCCCATCATTGGCTTTCTTCCCTCATCTTGGCTAATTTGTGGGGAAGTAGACTGAATCCCCCGCTTTTTGCCTTGGCCGTTCCCCCAGAAATCCCGCATCCGTCCGCAATACGCCACTTATACGCTGAAGCTTTATGGCTTTTCCTTAATAGATGCCCAGCCTTCCCCCAGGAACGATACCACATGTGCCTGAATGAACCTCGGGACCGGAAATTTATTACTTTGCCCCTGCTAGTAGTGCCGATCCCTACCTAGTCCCCAGGTACGGCCGACGGCAAGCTGCTAGAGTCTGCTATCAAGTGGAGTTGCAATGAGAATTGCTCATTACTGTTCATCACATGGGAGGTTATCACTAGTCTACCTCGGTGTCGATCCCTATTTCCTCGGGCATGATGGGGCTACCTCGTACTCCGTCCGGAGTACGGACTACGCAAAAAAAAAAAAAAAAAGAAATGAAGTTAGTGCAATTACGGTTAGCTAGGACCCTGCCTGCTGCACGACGATCAATGCCATCTCAAATGGAAATAAAGAGCTGGCTCTGTCCGGGGTTGAGTTTTTGAATCCCCCGAAGGCTCTTCCTGCTCAGCAACAAACCTTTGAACGACAGGTTTGGGGAATTGACGCCAATTCGACCGGCTAGACAAGAACTCAAATAAAAGAAACGATAGCTAGATTGGCCCATTCGACAACATGCGTCTTTTACCAACGCTCGCCACCGCGCTCCTGTTCGCGGTCAATGTGACAGGAAGTCCGGCCGTTGGTTCAGGCCCAGCAGAATCCGCCACCCCTGTCGCGAATATTGTGGAGGAGACCACCCCGGCACCCTCCGCCACTCAAGCAAACAATGTCAACCAAGCCAATAACGCCGCGGCCGAGAGTACTCCTGCCGCCAACACAGTCGAAGCCGCCAACACGCCTACTACTGCTGCGGCTGCGGCTGCAAACGATGAAGAGACTACTGCACCTGCAGAGACCGCTGACCCGACTATGGCTAACCCCGTGGAATCAGCGGTCGGCGGCATAAAGACTGCTCTTGGTGATACTACGAAAGAATCAACCGAGTCAGCCGCTGCAACCGCCCCCACTGAAACTGCTGCTAAGTCGGCTGCTGAGACGACCTCCGCTGCCGAGACTGATTCCTCCGCTGCCGAGACTACTTCCTCCGCTGCCTCTGCTACAGGCACCTCGAGCACCAAGTCTACCAGCTCTGATAGCAGCTCCGATAGCAAGCCTGATATCGCGGGGGAGATGAAATCGGCATTATCGGGGTTGCTCGGTGGTAGTGGCAGTGGCGGCATTGGGGACCTTATCAGTGGCCTTGAAAGTCTGCTGAGTCCCAGCTTCTTGGGTAACTTCGCCGACACCTTTGAATATCTCTCTACCGGTCTAGCACCCCCGGTCGACAACCAGATCCGAACCTTGGTGGGCAATGCCAACGACCTCCTGACTTCAAGCTTCATCAAGAAGACTGGCAGTCTCATTGACAATGCCAACACCCTCTTGACTGAGGAGAACACCAAGGAGATTGGCACCCTCCTCAAAGTGGCCAACAAGCTGTTGTCTGGTCAATTTATCGACAAGGTGGACAACCTCATCGACAACGCCAATAACCTCCTCACCGCCGGCTTCGTTAAGAAGACCAACAACATCATTGACAAGGCCAGCCCTCTTATCGACAAGGCTGGCCCTCTCATTGAGGATGCAGGTGGCCTACTTACCGAGAAGAATGTTCACGCAATTGAATCACTCCTGACAAACGCCAACACGCTGCTCACTGCCACATTTGTCAAGGAGACCGGCAACCTCATCGGCAAGGCCAGTCCTCTTATCGACGACGTCAGTGGTCTGCTCACCGAAGGCAATGTCAAGGCGATCGAGTCACTCTTGGCTAATGCCAACAAGCTGCTCACACCCAGCTTCATCTCCACCACCGGCAAGCTTATCAAACAGGCTGGTCCCCTTATCAACCAAGCCAGCGGTCTCCTCACCGAAGGCAATGTCAAGGAGATCGAGTCGCTCTTGGGCAATGCCAACAAGCTGCTCACACCCAGCTTCATCTCCACTACCGGCAAGCTTATCAAACAGGCTGGTCCCCTTATCAACCAAGCCAGCGGTCTCCTCACCGAGGGCAATGTCAAGGAGATCGAGACTCTCATCGGCAATGCCAATAGCCTGCTGACTACCAGCTTCGTCAACCAGACCACTAGCTTGATCGACGAAGCTAGTGAGCTCTTGAGTTCGGATACGGTTGACAGCCTGAAGTCTCTCCTCGTCCAGCTCGCTCCTATCATTCCCGAGCTGAAGGGTCTGCTGAAGCCAGCCACTATCAAGGCAATCGAGAACGTGCTTAACAACGCCAACAAGCTGCTCACGGACTCTTTCGTTAAGGACACCAACACCTTGATCACCGAGGCTGTCGCCCTTCTGACTCCCGACCTAGTCAAGGCTCTGAAATCGCTCCTCAGCGATCTCACTCCACTGATCCCCGAGTTGAAGTCGCTGTTGACCAAGGAGATGATCAATTCGATCGAGACCCTTCTGAACAACGCCGGAGACCTGCTCACGTCAGACTTCGTCAAGGACACCAAGGGCCTAGTCGGCGAGGCCGGCGACCTCCTCACTCCGGAGGTGGCCAGTGGATTGAAGTCGATCCTGAAGGACGTCATTCCTCTACTGCCCGAGCTCAAGTCCCTACTCAACAAGAGTACCATCACAGCCATTGGTTCTCTTTTGTCCAACGCCAACACCTTGTTGACCCCCAAGTTCGTCAACGAGACCATTGGTCTGGTCGACAGCGCGGACGACCTCTTAACCCCAACAATCGTCACCGGACTGAAGGATCTCCTCGGCGACGTGGTCCCCCTGCTCCCCGACCTCAGAAAGTCTCTGCTGAACACAACAATCATCACCGACCTGGGATACATCGTGACAAACGCTACCACTTTGCTCACGCCCGCCTTCGTCGAGGATACCACCGACCTCGTCGAGAACGCCGATGGCCTCCTCACCCCCAAGGTGGTCACCACGCTCCAGGAGATTCTTGGATACGTACCCGACTTGTTGCCCGAGGCGAAGAAGTTGCTCAAGCCTTCTGTTATTTCGGATGTTGGCGCGCTCTTGGAGAATGCTCACGACCTCCTCACTCCTAAGTTCGTTAATGAGACAACGCTACTGATAGATGATGTTACAAGCTTCTTGCCTTTGGTTCAGGAATTGCTCAAGGCGCTGTGAGGAGTCTATGTTTTATGATTTTCTTATATCGATTGCAACGGACGCAATTATGATCTTTAATGTTCTCTAATGATAATTAACGTTGTCTTATATTTGCTTCATGGTAGTTGGTAGATTCTGCGTGTAAGACAGGAAGAAAGTCTTAGTTAAGTGATCTTTCGAACATAGCATATTAGAACAAGAGTAATTGGCCGTCGCTAACTATTTGACGATGTAGGACTGCAATGGTCTGATTTATTTGGCCCAAGATCGATATCAGGGGTGTTATATGTAAGAACACTCCAATGTGCTTTTTGGATGTTCATGGTGCGCCGGTGCGCAGCCGGCGAATAATTCGTTGATGGGTCCGTATGCTGCTCAGGCTGGATTCTATACGGATGAGAACTATGAGCGGGCGCTCAAGTGGCTCGAGTGGATGGTTGAGCTTGTTCATCAAACGGATGAGATGAGGAGCGTGGGGATGTTGGAGATTGTTAATGAGCCTGTTCGGAACGAGGCAAGGGATTCGTCTATGCGGTCGAAGTATTATCCAAAGGCTGTTGAGGTGAGGCGATCTTTTGGTCTTGCTGAGTGATCATAGAATAATGGGTGAGTATACAGCGCATCCGTGCCGCTGAGGAGAAGCTTTCCATTGATGCGAATGACCACCTCCATATCCAGACAATGGATAAATATTGGGGCTCGGGCGATCCTAACGAGTATCTCGACGACTTGATTTACATGGCCTATGATGATCACCGTTATCTGAAATGGGATACTAGTGTTGATCCCTCGCATGACAATTACATCAGCACATCCTGCGCCGATAATCGTGATAGTAACTCCCCTAACATCGTTGACGAATGGAGTCTCGCTGTGGCGGACGATGTCGCAAAGTCGCCGGATTGGGATCCCAGTTCGAATACCGACTTTTATGGAAAGTGGTTTGCGGTGCATGTTCATTCTTATGAACAGCAGCAGGGACAGGTCTTTCGGACTTGGAAAGCTCAGCTGAATGATTAGCGGTGGTCTTAACCAGAGTGAGTCCCTTTTGATTCCTGGACAATTGGAGGATGGGAGCTGACATCTTGCAGATGCTGTTAAGGCTGGAGTTATTCCTAAGGATTTGAACAGCTTGCAGAATATTTGCTGAACTTGTCTTCTGTCAAGTCAGTAGATCTGTTCGTTAGTCTGTACACCGTTAGCTGGTTTCAAATAGCAGAGGATGAAGTAAATCGCAAAAAAAAGGAATAAAGCACAAATATGAATGAATTGGCTTGTTGATAGTGAGCATCAGCGCTTGGATACATACATCTCCTAGTGATAAGCGTATGGATAAGCGGAAGGATAAAGCTTAGGAAGTAGCCTCAGGAGTTGGGGTTGGCCACCATATCATCGCCCAGAGAGATACTCCTGGCCCGCCAGACTGAAGACTTGCATCAGCAGCGACATTACCCTTGCCAAGTCGAATCTCTTCGACTTCCTGAAATCCCATCGACAGGTACAGAGCACGCGAGCCTGCAGTTGTTGCTTCGAGCCAGATCGGGAGGTTCGCGGCTTGAGCGGTCTTCTGGTGATCCCGCATGATGGCTTTGGCGAGGCCTGGACATGTATGATTAGTAAGTGATGAGGTATTATAGAGCCACGAATGGGGATGTCTGACCTTTTCCACGGTGTTCGTGCTCGGTTCCGATACTGAATATGTAGTAGTATCGACTCTGTCCACGTAGACCCTTTTTCTTCGCGTTGTCGATCTTGTCGGAGAATTCGAACCAAAGGCGCTAGGTAATTGGTTAGTTATAAGTGTTCTGTGGGGGTATGCTGGGCTTTGGTATACCTTAACGCCTGAGAGTCCCATCTTCCATAGAACGCCCAGAAATCCAGCCCACAGAAGAGTCCAGACATTGTCAATGTATCCACCGGGTGGAATCATGACCGATGCCGATTTCCAGCCATCGGCTTCGGTGATCACTGCGCGATTAAGTAAGGCTGACTTGATGAGCGTGGTCCAGTATGTCGGCAGATAAGCCAACCTTTGTTGTTGAGACATGCCTAGGAGCATGTACGCGATAACAGGGTCGGTGTCGAAGACGCGACCGTTCAGTGCTGCGACCGATTTCAGCATACCTGTGATCTTGTCAGTATCAATATGATCATAATTGAGCTAGAAGATAACTCACTGTGACGGCCGTGAGTTACCGGGACTGATGCCACAGCCATGGTGTCTGGTTCAGGCTAGAATAGGTCCAAGGATGTGGTCATTGGCCAGTTTAGGTGGTGATCGAAGGCAGCCATGGGGAAGAAGTCGCAGCGATGAGAAGCTTCGTCTTATAGTCTGGACATTGACGTCATGGGATGCTTATGTAAGGAAGCCACGGGCCGGGGTTCTCCCCGAGGACAAGTCCCAAGGCCGAGCAACTGACTTACAACATCGATGCAGACCACAGCTGATAGCTATCATTCCTTAAATATTAATATCAATGTTCTCATGCTCACTGTCATACTGATAATCATCTGCCTAAATTTTTTAAGACTCACTCATTCATCTCCCCTGTGGATACGCGTGGACCTGTACACACAGATTGCGAATTGAATCCCGAGGAACTCGGGCCGCGACCGCTGTCAGAATTCAGACCCGACAACATGATTCGTCGGGATATTGAAATTATTGGATTACAGCTTTAACGAAAGCTTTATAGATGACCGGCATGCAAGACCGACATGACTGCACATCTGCTGATGTGGGACAACTGCTCCAGGGGATGATCCAAATTCCTTTTCCTCACCTGGGCAACTACAACCGGAAAAACTACTCCGAAGAAAAAAACCGAAGTCAAGAAGAAAACTTCAACACTCTGTGGATCATGTCACTATGGAAACCAGCCCGCCTGAAGTGGAATAGCATCCACTTTATACCCAAATTGACCGTTTTTTGCTCAAGCGCAAGCTCGAATAGCCATACAGAACGCAGCGATCCAATATGAATCAGATTTTTGTTGAGCTAACGGAGTGGAGGCTTGGGCAATGTTTACTACCCCAGGACCAACTTCCAGTATTGAAACCCTTTTTCTCTTTCTTCTTCTTCTTCTTTCAGGTCAGAGCCTCGATGCCATTATTTGTCTTGAAAATCTCTGTTCCTCTCTTTCAATCCTGCGTCTGAAGTTATATGCTCTGGTAGCGTCATCGGACAAGGTATGCTCGTTGTTGTTGGGGCACCTCCATCTCATATCATTGCTTCTGAAGTTGCCACAAACATTGCCGGAGCATACCTGCGAAAGAAGTCTGGTGTCATGGCTGGCCAAACAGCTCTCTCGGATGCGGATGAGAATGCGGTTGTTGAGCAGGTGGAACGTTGGCTCAAACATGGATTTTTCCCATATCCCACATTGCCGAAGGATGTAGCCAATGCTTATCTTCATCATAACCAGTATTACAACCAGAACAGACCAAACTTGAATGTCGGTTGGCAGAGGGGCTTCTTAGAGCGCAATCAAGAACTTTCAGAGGCCTTAGCTCAAGAACGTGATACAACAAGGCTAAGAGGTACACACGATGACCGCAGGGCTTGGAAATTCTTCCACGCGTTTAAAGATACCAAGCAGAAGTTTTCGGTTACCGACGACAATATCTACGCAATGGAAGATGCCGCATTCGTCACCACCATGTATCGAAAGTCGTCCGCTATGTTCATTCGACCATTTAACCCAAATAACAAGAGAGAAGAACGGGCATTCTCATCTGTGATCCACTGTTGTTCAACACGAGGCAAGCACCTGCCCCCATACATAGTCTGCAAGAGCCAGGATCCACCGCAGACCAAGAACTTTGGTCAAATGAAGGTTTGCTCTACCCAATCAGGCTGGGCAGAGCCGACTCATGCACTTGACTGGGTGAAGAATGTTTTTGAGCCAGAGACTCGACCTCGAGGTCGGCGTCAAACATGGAGAATCCTGATGATTTCTCAACGGTTTCGCATAGTCTACCCCGATTTCGAAACTTGGTGCTGGGAGCACAAAATCGCCTGTATTGCTTTCCCCAAGAACGAGCAGAAGTTCTTCAACCCAATGGAAAACATCGCCTTTGGGCCAATGCAAAAAAGCTACACCGACTACATGAGAAAGAGATTTTCAGATAACAATGAGAATGCTATTACTCTGCAGACGGCTGAGTTTGCAAGCTGGATCCGTGGCGAGGTAGCTTCATCTACACGAGTGAAAGAGGCAGCTGACTTTTGGCGTCAAAGCTGCCTGGTGCCTCTAGATGAAAATCGCCTTCGCAACTGCCTCCAAGGGAACCGAGCTACCGCCGCCCCAGAGGATAGAAGCTCCATTTTCGATAGCCGCTTCGATTCGGACGATACCGGCCAGAGAATGACAAGCCGACAGACGCCAGCCCGAACAAGCGTTCCTTTGCCCGTCATCCCATCCACGGAGGCATTAAGCCGACACTCCACTCCCGAGTATTCACCTCCTTCACCACGGCCATCACAAACGCAAACGACCCCAGAGAGCCAGAAGGCCCAAGAGAGTGACGATGACTCGGAATCGGAGGAAGATGAATCCGACAGTGAGAATGAGACGGCCACCAATCACCATCCCATCACGCCATGCAGGACCCCTAAACTGCCTAAGACTTCTCGGGTCAAGACTCCAGAGAGAGGACCATCTGATCCGGTGATGTCGTCTAAGAAACATCGCGATATCTTGGATAAATGCATAGAAGGATCCCCTAAAACTCAGAAGAGGTATCGCGATGATCTAATTCTCGATCGTGGGGATCTAGAGAAGGAGAATGCTTGTTTGAAGGAAAGGGTCGAGCTTTTGGAACAGTTTGCGCTCAAGAGACCGAGACTCGACTGATATGGCTTCGTTTCCTGTGTGGTCCCAAGCCACTTTCTGTTCTTTTTTTTTTTTTTTTCTGTCGTGTATTTTAAAACACTGTGAGCCATTTCGCTTACATTCCTTTTCTTTTGTATAAAAAATAGTTTCAGTTTCCTCAATTTCATATGTCCATGCCGGTACCGGGATCCAGAATACCGGGACCGCAACTACTTACTTCGTTTGATATCAACTTTCCCTTTCTTTAAAATCTTCCTCCTCAACCTAAACCCATCCATATTCAATCTCTACTTCTCCAACCTATATCCTCAACTACCAGCAAGAATGGCAACCGTTCTCCTCATCCTCGATGTCCAAAACGGGGTAATCGACCGCCTCGAGAACACTGAGCCCTACCTCGAACGCCTGGGGTCAACCGTTGCTGTCGCACGTAAGGCAAACGTGAAAATCATCCACGTTGTTACTTCCTTCCGCCCAGGCTACCCAGAAAACAACGCAAACAACTCATCTGTCCCCTCCGTCGTCGCACGCGGCGAATATCTCGAAGGCCACTCGTCCGTGCAAGTACACCCGACCATCGCACCTGCATCTGGAGAAGTGGTACTCACAAAACGTCGTGTCTCGGGCTTCTTCGCTACGGAACTCGATATGCTTTTGCGTTGCGCAAATGTCGAGTCTATCGTTGTCGCGGGCTTGATCACTAGTGGAGCTGTTCTATCGACTGTTCGCGAGGCAATGGATATGGACTACCGCGTTACGGTCTTGGAGGATTGCTGCATGGATCGCGACGAGGAGCTGCACCGCGTGTTGATGGAGAAGATCTTTGCGCGCAAGACTGATGTTGTTTCGGCGAAGGAGTGGACCGAGAAGGTATCCGTCGTCGAGCAGCGCTAGATATGTTGTTCAAATTACTTCTACTCGCTGGTCCGATCGGCCTTACTTTCATTACGGCGGCTAGTGGATCGACTTACTCGTTGTGGGCAGGTCCAATGGCGCCGATCGATCCAAGCACTCGATTCTAGCTACAATGTAAAATGCTCACCGTCACAAATTATTATGGAACGCTTCAGCAGAAATATTACACATTGCCTGCGTGATGAGTACCTAGTCATCCCGTTGAGTACTCGGTTCACCGCATCTAGTGAAAGCGTTTATTGTATAATCAACCCTTCGAATAATCCTCAAGAGGAACAATAGCCGACGCGATCCCAGCTTCGTAAAGCAAAATAGAACAATTACATTTCCAGGTGACCAGGTCAAAGCTCATCAGCATCCAAGCCAAGCCACAATGATGGACCAATCCCATCCCACCACGACGCCCTGCTTAGCAGCTGAGGGCTGTGCATAAAAGGAAGCGGATCTTATTATTTTTATTATAAGAGTATCGCCACATTCTAGTAGGAGAGGCACATTTGACAGGACCAGTTGGCTATTATTGCTGCTGTCGGCATGAATCCTTTGAGTCCTCTGCGCTGTCAACTCCGAGAGATCTTGCCAGATGCCCGAGCCTTCGACTTCAAAGAGCAGCACATTTGGCCTGATATCACAGGAGGCCTCTCAGTTCCAGTGTTCGTTTGCTGATCAAACTCTTGGAAATTAACGATGGCTCCGTCCTGTCCCCATTGTGGGGAGATATAGTCCTGGGTGGACGACTGTGAATACCAGACAGGCCAGCGCAATCATCCTGTGGTTGTCAGCGTGTGTGTAAGAGAGGGTTTCACGTTCAACATACATTCCATCAAGAACCAAAAACTCCATTTCGTTCTGCATCAATCTGTTCCCCCATCCACCCGCCATCTCAGGAAGACTAGATCCAGTTAGTGATTACTTCGTGTGTTAAAAACTGGAATAGCTCACCGATAAATACACCGAATTAAAACTGTGATATAGGCGGCAATCTCTGCAGCAAGTACCAACCAGACTTTTCGTCGGGGTTTTTCAGTCACAGCCTGTCCCTGTAGGTCTTCGCGCAGATGCTTCCTAGATGCTATGAAGAAGTCCAACGCTAGGAACCCACACACAGACATCGTGGCAACCTGGAAGGCAATTCCCGCAATAATGATATTATTTCCCACCTCAACCATGACCTGGTCAGTTCCGGCTGCATTGGCCACGCCTCCACCAGCTGCTTGCAAAACAATAGATCCGATATCAGACCCGATGAATATCCAGGTGAAAAGCTTCGGGTTCATGCGCGAGTATTGGGGTCCAATATGGATGATTATGTGCTTAAGGGTAAGGTATATACCGGCAGCAATAAAAGTTGGAGCCAGTATCAGACAGAAGATCTGTAGTCGAAACCCAGATGTTGACCATGGATTGTCGTGCATCAGAATTCGTCCCACGTATCCCGCGGCTTCCATGAATGTCCCGATACTGAGAACTGCGAGGAAAGTCCATGTTCGTAAATATATCCCAAGACCTAATTGACACACTCCAAGGAAGCCGAAATAAACAGTGAAAAAGATGTTGCCGCCGAGATTGGGATAGTAGCCATATGTGGTTGCTTCCACAGGGCATTGGGTGGTGATTTCGGTGCAAATGGCCGACATTTCGACGGGAAGGGAATATCCAAATAGGAATTCCTAGAAATTGGAAGAATATTCACTCCTGAGAGGTCTCCAAGGCTAATATAGTTATGTCACGAATGTTTTGTTGATTTTGGCCTGTCTGTTCCTCGTTCTTCGTTCCTCGTTTATCGTTTATCGCTTGCCGTTCACCGTTCCTCGTTCCCCGCTCCCCATCTCTGCCAACACCCATATCGTCCCAACACCCTCCAAATACATGAGATCTAATCATGCCTCGTCGATTTCACAAAAAGTCTAGGAATGGGTGCAATCAATGCAAGGAGCGGCGTGTCAAGGTGGGTCCATATCTGTCCGATGTCACCCCCCAGGTGCTGACAACACACTAGTGTGACGAGACACGGCCCCTATGTAGTGTATGTACTACTCGGGAACTGCCCTGCATCTATAGTACACCATATCCTCAAAGAAATTCCACAGCTGAGGCCTCTCCGAACCCAGAGCCCAAACCATCTGCCAAACCAGACTCGGGATCATCGAAATATGATGCCCGACATCTGCTGCTAATGCACAAATTCTCAACCGAAACTTACAAAAGCATATGTGGTGACCAATCTGATATGGAGGACTGGCAGGTCCTCATTCCCAAGCTTGCTTTCGAGCATGAATTTCTGTTGCATGGCATCTTTTCCCTCGCCGCGCTTCACATGGCAGCCACCACCGCAGACTCAGAACAGGTTCTATCGTATCTAGACACTGCAATGGAGTGCAATGAACTCGCATTTGCCCCCTTCAGGGAAGCCTTGGCCCGTTTAACCCCCCTCAACTGCGATGCTGTCTTTGCCCAATCCGCGGTCGTTACGATCATTGGCATAGCACTCCCCCGGCTGAACGCTCAGCATCGCGGGGAATCCTTTAGCATGATCGAAACTATGATGACGGTTTTTGAACTGCTGCAAGGGGCTAGTAAAATCTCGCAAATTAGCAAACCATGGCGACAGGCAAGCATCTTCTTCAAGTACGAGTGGAGAGATAACACCGCGCTGGATCCCGATATGGCCAATGCCATCGCACAACTGCGAATGCTCAATAGCACAATGGAGAACACGGACTCGGCACAACATGTCATGAACCAGGAAGCTATCGACTCTCTACAAGACTCATTTGCCAAATTCACTTATGCGCCGCATCCTGCACCTATCTTGGCTTGGATCGCCTATGTCAAGAGGGAATTCGTGGACGGGCTGCGCGCACGTCAGCCACTCCAGTTGTTGATCCTTATGAATTGGGCAGTTCTATTAAATGAATTAGGGGCCCATTTCTGGTGGGCCAAGGGCTGTGGGGAGGAGTTAGTCGCTGAGTTATTGAGTGAGCTGAAGGACCAGAATGAGAAGTGGAAATCGGCATTGCAGTGGCCGCAGGAAAAGGTCGGAATATGATAAATAGTAAATCAAAATGGCGGAGTGAACTATATGGCAATTATCTACTTAATTGTACCAAATCTGCGCTATACACTTCACCATGTCTCAACAAAATGTCAATTTTATTTAAGACCTCGATGGTCTTACTCTGCCAAGTCGAATTCACATCGCCTCTAGCTGAGGACCTGGTATTGCGACCAAGACCCCAGTAAGCTCGACACAACCTCGTGTGATAGTTTTGACTAATGTCGAGTAAGTCAGCGGCGTGAAAGATAATGTAGAGTCCAGCTCCGAAGTATCTGGCTGTGCCGGTGATGTTTGTGGTCCCGGGATTGAATCGGCTCATTACTGTTGTAACGGGAGACTTTTGAGAAGCTACTAGGCACTATGAACGGAATCCAGGTGGAATAAGGAATAGGCCATATGGATGTTCTTAAGGGAGAGCAGCAGAAGTTGGTGTTCGTCCAGGGGGCTGTGTTGTCCGCGGGATTGATGAAAGTGGGGATTGAGGCTGAAGAGAACCCAATTTCATTGGTCCACGTGACTTTTGCTATCCATGGATATCGGAACGATAAACGATAAACGATAAACGATAAACGATAAACGAGAGTATCCGGAGGGACAGGGGACATCCTTCGTTATTTTCAGTATTCTGTGGTTTTTCTGCATTGTCTTTCACTCGATAATTCTCCTAATTGTCTCAAATCCCCTTTAAGACCATTTATCATGTGACCCTTCCCTTTGGTCCCAGTACTTTAGTTCGTCATCTGTACATGCAACTTGAAAATTTCCAGGGCATACTAGATTTCATTGTATATCTCTAACTTCATCTCCAACTGTCTTTGAGGAAATGGACCCCGTCTCTTCTCAGCAAGAGTCAAATCCGAGCTCCCCAATCCCGACCTCAAATCGATCATTTTTACAAACATTCACCATTCTTACTGCCCTATGCGCAGCAGTATTTCTAGCTGCTCTTGATGTCACTATCATTACAACAGCCTTACCGTCAATTGCCGCACACTTCCAGTCCAGCTCCGCCTACACATGGATCGGCAGCTCCTACATCTTGGCTAATACAGCCACCGTTCCTGTCTGGGGTAAATTGTCAGATATCTGGGGCCGAAAGCCGTTGCTTCTAGTTGCGACGGTTATTTTTTTCGGCGGAAGTTTGATCTGCGCAGTCGGAGATACTATCGCACTATTCCTATTTGGTCGGGCCGTGCAAGGGCTAGGAGCGGCCGGACTGATCACTCTCGTGAACATTTGTGTCAGTGATTTGTTTTCACTCAGAGATCGCGGGCTGTACTTTGGCCTCCTTTCTGTGGTATGGGCTCTCGCCAGTGGAGTAGGTCCAGTCCTCGGTGGAGTGTTCACTGAAAAAGCAAGGTGTGTATGCGCAATGCTTATATCCTACATGTTATATTGCATATCCCTGACTTCTTCTAGCTGGCGCTGGTGCTTTTGGATCAATCTCCCAATCACTGGACTGGTATTCTTGTTCTTATGGCTTACTCTCAAGCTTGAGACCCCTAATACTCCAATATGGAGTGGTCTGAAGGCTGTCGATTGGACAGGATGTTTGTTCGTCATCGGTAGTACCATCATGCTCCTCTTGGGTCTCGACTTTGGGGGTGTTACGCATCCTTGGGACTCTGCTACAGTAATATGTCTCCTCGTCTTTGCAGGTGTAACTCTGGGTCTATTCGTTATCCACGAATGGAAATTGGTCAAGTACCCCGTCATTCCTCTGGTCCTATTTCATCACCGTTCCGGTATCGCTTCCTTCCTGGTCTGCTTTTGCCATGGGTACATCTTTATGGGCGAAGCCTATTATCTCCCCCTATACTTCCAAGCGGTTCTCGGCTCTAGCCCTATTATGTCCGGGGTTTACATTCTTCCGTTCGTCTTGGCTATCACCGTATCTGCTGCGTTGACAGGACTGTTCATCCAAAAGACAGGACTCTATGTCCCAGCTATGTGGTTGGGGCTAACTACTATGACGTTGGGAGTTGGCTTGCTTATCAACCTAGAGGTTACTGCCAACTGGGGGAAAATCATGGGGTTTCAGGTCATTGCCGGCATCGGCATCGGTTTGAATTTTGAGGGGCCGTTGTTGGCTGTCCAAGCAATAGTGGGCGCGGAGAATGCAGCCACTGCCACTGCCACCATCGGATTCGTGAGGACCCTGTCCACCGCGATCTCGGTAGTCATTGGAACAGTCGTGTTCCAAAATCAGATGGCAAGAAAAGGAGCCCAATTGCTTTCATCTCTGGGAGAGCAATTAGCCAGTCAGGTCTCAGGAGGAGCAATGGCAAATATCGAGATCATTGACACACTCCCTCCAGATCAAAAGCTCGTGGCACGACGGGCCGTTTACGAATCTTTACGAACGGTCTGGATTATGGTAAGCCTCACTTCATGTTAGAAGGAATGCGATGCTGACTAGTATGTTTAGTATGTAGCATTTGCAGCTGTAGGTCTGGTAGCAGGGATATTCGTCGAGGGCCACCATCTTGACACCGAGCATAAGGCACCTGTGCTCGGTTTGCGAGATAACGATGGAAGTTAACCCGTCCCAGAGTTCCACAAAGACTATCCAAAAACCTGGCTATATCAGAAAGGGTGGTGCTTTAATCAAACCGTAAACAGTACGCCTTCGCCTTCGGGACGAGGTTTTAAATTGGTTACTGGGTTTCAATTTCTTATATAGGCTAAGCGGTATCTTGTTCTAGTCAATATAATATCCCCAGGATCTGCTGCTCTGTATAGACGTTTGGAAGAGCAGTGACACTTTCCAAGAGTGTGCATTCAATTGAAATAACTTCGTTATATTGGATCCGAGCCAGAGCATTTATTTACAGAGTTCAGCCTGTAGATCTCATTTCACATATAATATCTACAGCTTCCCCTGCACCTTCTCCTGAGGACCCGCACAGCAAGCCGGCTCGGGGTGCAAAGTGGACTGGTTGAAAGACTGGCTCGAAGCCGGCACATCAAGTGCAGGGTTCTTAGTAAAGAATCCATCCGGTTTGAGCATCACGCTGACACGCTCCATGGGCATAATAGGGAAGTCCTCAATGCGGGGGTTGTGAGTGAGGCCGAATGCTAGAAACGGTTAGCTACTATTTCAGGAGAGGTTGAATGGAATAACATACTGTGCCAAAGAACAAGGTCTTCGTTCTCGACCGCGTCGTTTCGGGCAGCCCACACATCCACGCCTTCTGACTTCTTGCTCTGGTTTGTGAACTCGCCGGCGGCGAAGAGCTCGTCATCTTGGTATTTAGTAACCCAGACAGGACGGGTCGCGAAGCGGGCGCGCTTCGAGCCAAATGAGTTCGGGTGTGCGAGGAGCATCTGACTTGGCATGGTTTGCAGCTTATAGGCGATGGGGTGGTGCGTGATAGGGTTGACAATAGAGTCGTTCCGGATCTTAAAGACGCGGTTGCGGTCGACGCTGGTTGTTGCACTACCACTGGACTTGATAATGTTCTTCTCTGTGGTGTACCCGACAAGCCATGGGTTGCTATCATCCTCGGGCATGGGTACACTGTCTTCGTAGTACACTGTGTTTTTGTACCCATCGATGGCAGGGTCGATACGGAGGGAGAACATGTGTTGGTGGAATGGAGCCATAACGTCTGGTCCGACATTTGTTCCCCATGGCACAGTTTCGCCATTCTGGTTTTCGAAGGGTACAGTTGAGAGGATACCGGTCGCCCGTACCTCGAGCTCAATATTGGCTGCTTGGTCGAGGATAAAAGCGAAGATATATTCGTAGTTCGCGACGGTGCAGATCATCTGAACCACGAGCTGGCGGTTACGGACGACAGTCGCTGCACCCGTGCGGTAATTAGTGTGCTTATGTTGCAAGCCATTATCCTGCTCGTGCATGCAGATGACATTCTTTAGTTGAATTGGTTCTCCCTGTGCATCCGTGCGATAACCATCGAAATATTTGATGTGACCGAGACAGTCGCAGCCAAGACTCAGTTGGTTAGCTGTTATACCGAAGCCCACATCACCGACGTCAAAGGCCTGCTTGCGGTGGTAGGGAGCACGGGGATCTAGAATAAATTAGATATGTTGCTCAAAAAGGGGTAATAGAACATACCGGCGTAGGGAACTGTCATCTCAGAGAACGACAGACGGTAGAAGGTGTTACGACCATCGTATGTCACATTGTGCAGCACTAATCCTTCTCGGTTGTTGAAGCCCACTCTGAAACGCCACTTCTGCCATGACACGGCATTGCCGATGACATTAAATGACGCTCCCTCTGGCTGCTGGACAATGTAGGGCTTAAGATCAGTGCGCAGAGGCTCATCTAGCAAATCATGCCCGTATTGCACAGTAGGCACCGGCTTCCAGGGCTGCGTCTCAGTACTTTGAGTATTGGCTCCGCCAGGCAGATAATCCATACGGACTAGCTGGCGAGCGATGCCATCAAACACCGGGGAGAATTTGCAAGGCAGTGAATACTGGTTATTCTGGGGATGGTCGGTAGCCACAATGTACATGTAGCACTGGAACAAACGCCGAGTTTCCTTGGCATCATCGGTGCCGTAGATCCACGGATCCAAGCAGACGGTGTGGCCAGCCGGAAGCTTCAACTTTTCAATTTCAGCCTTGACAGCCGGATGACTAAGACAGAGCTCCTCGATTTCCATCATTTCATCGACGTCGAGTGGACCCTGGACGTCCTTGGGCAGCTCTTTCGCCGACACGATAGACTTGGTGTCTGCGTTGATCAGGGCCTTGAAGAAGGACCCATTATCCAATCGGTGGAAGAGCGCCATCAGCAAACGCGCCGGTTTAAGCGGTCGTACTTCACCCCGGCGCTCGGCCTCAAGGAATGGTACAACCTCATGCTTGGCGGGTTCCTGGAGATCGATGCGCTTGTAACGCAGCTTGGCACCGGGGAAAGCGGACTCCAGAACGGAGACCGCCAATTGGATCTCCCCAGGTGTGATAGGGTCAAAAGGGTGAAGGCTCGCCATTATGAGTAATGTTTGTGAGAGATATGGTTTCTGCGAAGATGGGTATCACGATGCATTTATATTCGCACAACCCTAGTAGGTGTTCCTTCCTTTCCTTTCCCTTTTGGGTAAATCTTTCGCGCTGCTGGGGTGATCTGATTGGTCAGTTACTAACACGGCGCATCTTTTGCTCCAAAGGGTTTAGCGTGCATATGTTCTTAGTAAGCCGGGGATCCAATGGATCCATGGATGGATTGCGGGGGTGGGAGAAGTTGATCAAGTCCACGGGTATCTTCGACTTTTACATTGTAACTACATACAACGGGTACGACACCTTCGTCAGGCAGCCAATCAAAGTTGAAGTCTAACCGCTGGACAACCTTGGGTGTGTTTCCCAACCTTCAATCACTTGGAAGTTTGAAACCTTGGAAGTTCCACCACGTTCCGTTTGTCAAGTGACGGAGAAGCAACGAAGGCCCAAGAAGCAATGAAGCATGAAGAACTGACAAAGGTCGAAGAACCAACAAAGAATGAAGAACCAACCAAGGGCCCGGACGGGACGGTCCTTCATTCGTTGTCCGATCGCACGGTTGTCCGACTCGGCGACAAACTTGTTGTGAAGTCGGGCCATCTCCGCCCCCAGGAAGGGCCAACACTCCGTTTCATTGCAGAAAACACAACCATCCCTGTACCTAAACTTCATGATATCCGCTATGGGGACGGCAAACCTGTCGCTCTCGTCATGGATTACATACCTGGCAAGCGACTTGATGAAGCATGGGATACATTGGACTCCAGTCAAAAGCTCTCCATTGCCGACGAGCTACACTCCTACGTGAACCAACTTCGCGAACTGAAAGGCCATTATATCGGGGCTATTAATCGCGGCAAAGCTATCATAGGAAATATTGCGTCAATTGAGGGAGGTCCATTTGATACCGAGCAGGAATTCAACGAATTTATCCTAGGGGATATGGTCAGCATAGCACCAGACTTGCTACGACATTATGCCAAGTTTGCGCTCATGGATGACCATGAGATTGTATTCACGCATTCTGATCTTGCTCCGCGGAATATTCTTGTTGAAGGTGGCCGAGTCACAGCTATTATTGACTGGGAATATGCTGGCTGGTATCCAGCACATTGGGAATATTGTCAAGCTCTTCGGCATCTGAGACCGATGCTTGACTGGCCAGAATATCTGGCCCGTATTCTTCCACCCAAATTTGAGCGAGAATACATAGGCATGACTTTCTTAGCTCGTATGTTATGTCACTAGCTAATTCAATTGGTTACGCTGCGGGTGGTATACATCTAAACTTCGGTGTGCTTAGGATGAAGGAACAGTCCATAACAAGAATCATCACTTTACTCTCGAATATTGAAGGAAGCTCTTCAAATATAAGATGCAACTGAAAATTCGCCCCGTCCACCCTTCACAGCAGGCACTAATGTCGTTTGTATGGATCGGAGATGCTATTATAACTTTCATGTTAGCAAATACGTCGTCGATTCAATCCATTCACTGATACAACCACAATTCCAATATTGACCAAGCCACTTGAACAAAATAATTTACATCCTAGTTTAATATCCTTGAATCCTGTTTCACGCGATAAGAAGGACGAACGTGATCGAGGGCCGGAATGCGACGCGAGGGGCTACATCGGCCAGACCTACCTTGAACCTCAACGTGGACGCATTGAACATTACTTCCCCAAGAGGTACTCTTATTTTCTTTCCTTTCTTCGGATTGTCTAGCTAATGTCTAGTTTATCATACATGCTACATTGATTTGTATTGAATTGCTCAAAAATGCAAGCTGATTCAAAGCCTTCCAAGGGACGGCCAAGGAACCCCGGAATTCAGGGCTGCTACTGTCCCCTTCGAGCCCTTCAAAGGCCAAGCGCGCGATGGCATTCCAGACAAACAGTCCAGACTTTTTCCTTTCTCAAAGCGCTGTATAAAACCATGTCCCCTCCCCATATCGCGTGTGTACTTTGACAACTACGACAACCGCCAACACCATCCGACATGGATTCGATCAACTGAGCGAGTCTTTTCTTTTTTTTTTTTTTTTTGGAATATAAACCCATCGACGCCTTAACAAATCGCGTCAATCATTGGCCTAATATACTACGGAGCTATTGCCAATCACAACTTTGTGCATTTTGCAATGGGACGCGTGTCTATATCCGTCCTTGTCGCGGGGTTGGTTGGGTATGTCTTTGCTGGCATGAACCACCCTGCCCATGGACATCGCCATCGCCATCGCCACTTGATGCCACCTATCGAAGACTTGGAGCCGCGGAATCAGGCTTGGGATAATGTGAATAAAGCCGCAGATGATTTTGTGGTGGAGTCCATTACCCTCACGACCACTACAACCGTTTTTGGAAACTGCGCGCCAACCAATCCTATTCACTCTACCCTTACGCTTGTCAGGCACAGTCCTGGGCCTACGCCGTGTGCACACGATCATGCCGTACACAGCATCGCGCGTCCCGAGGCATATGAAGAGCACTGGCATCAACTGGAACCGCAGCCTGAGCCTGTTATCCCTGCGCCGACAAACACAAGGCCCGCTCAGCCTCAATTCACTCAGCCCAAGCCCCAAGCCCCCATGCCAATGCAGCCAGAGGCCATTACCACTATGTTCAAGACACAAACAATCACCAAAACTGCAACGAATATAGTACAGGTCACCGTCTACCCAGGGGGCAGCCCTGTGCCACTTGCAAACACAGACACCGGGATTCCTTCAAAAGCAGAAAAAGCTGCGGCCCTTGCAGACACACTTCCAAAGGACTCTTTGGAAGAAGAGAAAGCCGTCCCGGCAAAACGCCCATCTCCACCGCGTCCCAACAAAAACAACGGCGGACCTATCAACGCTATACTCGATCTGCCGGGCGAAGTCCTCCCCGATATCCCAGTAGTCGACCAGATCCTCCCAGGCCCAAAGCCAGACGGGCCCACCTCGGCGGACTGGACCAAAACACCGCCGAAAGGAAAGTTCTCAACAAATAAATTCGGAGGACGTACTCAGCCTAAAGGCAAAGGCACGGAGATCCACTACCAGGGCAATGTCGGCAAGCCTTGGGGAAGCAATATCATCAATGTCAGTCCGGCCGAGGCACACACGTACAAATATGTGGCGCAGTTCACGGGTTCAAACCATGAGCCTTGGACGGTGGTTGTGTGGAACAAGATCGGACCTGACGGAAAACTGACCGGGTGGTATGGCCACTCTGCTTTAACGTTCACTCTTGCACCCGGTGAAACCCGGTATGTTGCTTTTGACGAGGACTCTGAGGGCGCTTGGGGCGCTGCACCTGGTGATCACTTGCCCAAGGATCAATGGGGTGGATACTCGTGTACCTGGGGCGAGTTTGGGTTCGGTGATGGAGAGAATAATGGCTGGTCGGGATGGGATGTTTCGGCTATTCAGGCACAGATTGCCAATCATCCTGTTCAGGGGATGTCTATCTGCCGGGCTGATGGGAATGGATGCTCTATTATCACGCCTGGTGCTAAGAAGGTGGTTGATGCTTATGTCAAGTCAAAGAAACACCTGGATGGCATTGGTGGCGCGGCATCTCCTGGTCCCGTGCGGCTGAAAGTGGTGCTTGATTATCGGGGGTGAGGAGGAGGTTTGTATATACACATGATCTTGCCATTATAAAAACGATTAATTGGTTCAGCAATTAACGGGTTTCCCCAGCTATCCTACATACTTTGTAAGAGAAAAAGATATAGATCGGCACCTCATGAAAACTCACAATTCAACCCTTCGTGCTCCCAACCTCATTTAATGCATTGAAGGAATGTCAATCTCCTTGATAGTCCACACCTTCCCACCCTCACTAGAAGTAACCTCGGTATAAGTGGCACCACCGACGCTAGAAATGGTCGAACCAAAGGCAGTATCAGCTGAGGCGAGAGTGATAACAGTGTTCAGGTATTTCTGCGCAGCGATAGTTCCCGAGCAGTTGTCGTTACACTCAGTTCCGGTACCGTAGCTAAGGTAAGTCAGTATAGTCCGCAATAAATACCATTCTGGCCATTGACTTACCCTCGCATGTAGGGTCCAGATTCGTGGGAGTAGGTTGAAAGCACGGTGCCAGTCTCGCCATTTGTGACAGTCCTGCAAATATTAGCTGTGATGTATCTAGCCATCTTGGATCTATACGTACTGGGTCCAAGTCTGTCCATCGGACTCAAGATCGTATTCAATCCGCACTTCGTCGGTTCCGCTGACGGGTGAGCCAGTGCCATCGAGCTGACCAAAGCTGCCAAAGACACTGGCGCGCACACACCACTGTCCGGTGGTGGCTCCGCACCATGCGTTGCTAGACCAGCTTTCGAGGGTGGTCTGGACCAGGTCACCAGTTCCGTTGGATATCTATGATCATTAGTATCTAGAAGACCTTTGGGATAAATAAGTGAGGACTTACCCCAGGCCAGAGGAATAGCACGCCGTTCTGAGTCGCTGGGGCAGGTCCGGGGATCAACGTCGTGACAGCGTTGACGATGGTCGACTTGGAGGCACTAAGCGAGACACTACCACCCCAGTAGTCATGAGATTGGTTTGAATTCACATGGACATTAACAAACCCTTGCATTTATAGTTCTCTCCGGCAAGACTTCGGCCATGTCTACCAGTGGAGTGGTGGAATTGACTAAAGGCGGAGCATCTCCCGAAACTCCTTAGGGCTGGATGTTCCACCTTAAAACAAGCCGAACATTAGGCTGACTAGACCGCAGTGCACAAGACCTTCTCATTGATGCATTAATTTTCATTAATTTTCGTCAGATATAGTCCCATTCATGTCCGCAGCCCCGCATAGGGACTTTTTATTCACCTGACAGGGGGTCTATTTGTGGTGCCGGCAGTAGCACTAGCCAGTATTCGAGTTGCAACTATAACAAGTAATGCAGTACAATATAGATGTGAAGGTCAATACCTAGGTACGTATATGTATAGGTACGGCTGTCATCCTTCCGGCAATTTATCCCGAAATGCCGATATATTAAAGTTAGACCCTGTGGATATCTCATTCCAGGTAATCACCCTTGGTCTCAGCGTGGATCACATCAAACAGGGGCTTTGCGCTAAACCAGCCAGCCATCGGAGTTCCCACTGTTTTGTAAGTGAATGCCGCATCGGCTTCTTCAATTTTCACCGTTTGGCCACCTCGTCCGGTGGCAGCCGCATCCGCAAGGAGTTGAGCGTAGCAGCATTTTTCCAGACTCACGAACCAGAACACTGTTTCTTCAATCGTGTTACCGACCGTTAAGAGGCCGTGGTTTTGCAGCAGGGCTGCCTTTTTGTTACCCAGAGCTTTGGCAATGTTCTGGCCTTCTTCTTCCGCTAGCACGACACCTTTGAATGATGAATAAAGGGCCAAGTCCTGATCCTGTTAGGTGAAGGCCCACGCGTGGAGGTATGAAATGACACTAGGAGGACGTACATTGTGGAAAGCACAGGCATCTTGCGAGATGATATCGAGCGGTCGGCCCAGCGAGCAAAACGCCCGTCCATGGAGACTATGACTGTGCGCAGCGCAGTTCACTTCGGGTCGTGCTTCATGGATAGCGGAATGAATCATAAATGCTGCGGCGTTCAACAATCGATTCTCTCCACCTGCAATGACCTTTCCATGGTGGTCGACTTGGATTAAGTCTGATGCCTTCATCAATTTGAATGCCCTGCCGAATGGGTTCACCCAGAATGTTATCGGATCCACCGGATCGCGTAGGGTGATGTGCCCAGCGACACCTAATGAAATTGTCAGTTGTTAGGTCGATGTTTCGCTATAGGACCATGCATACCCTCGTCGTATCCTTTATCACCAAATATTCTGAATGCTGCCGCTAGGCGGCCCTTCAGATACTCTCGCTCCGCCATCTTATCTTCGAACACAGGCATGCTGGGCATCTGCATCTTCACCTTGGCCTTTTCGGCACCCTCCGCTTGGGATGACTGAGTTGCTTGCATGCTAATGGTGTTGGTGAGGGTCTCGGTGGTAGTTGGAGGAGCCATACTCATTCGTTGTCTGTACTGATGATTGTCGAGACACACAGGAATTATTTATAATCTTCGAAAGACGTACCTAGGGATGTTGTACAAAGCGGAGAAAGGTCCGAAGCGGGGGTGCTGATTATGGACGATGTTGGATTGGCCGGTCAGCCGAGGTTCTCCGCAAGCGGATATCCTCGCATCAATCGACTTTCGTGGGGGAAGGTGATATTTGAGGGTAGTTGAGATTAAACAGTATATGCTGAATAGTATTGAAAGAAAAGGAACTAGCTAATATATAAATGAAGAGGTCTAAATCGAATCGCTGAACTTAGGTATAACACTTTCAATCATCAATGCATCAAATCGTGATAGTTATCTCCAGGGCTGGATCTATAACATTTCGTTGCGTATTCCTCCAATCATGATATCTAGTTTGGGGATCTTTACAGCGGAAACGGAGGTGTCCGTTGAACCTCCGCCATCAATGCCTCAAACAGTTTACGGTCGGATGGGCTGAAGTTTTGGCTGATCGTCGCATGATGATTCGGGGATCCAACAAATGGCTTCAAATCAGCCTGGCATAGAGTTCCTACCACTGGTAATGTGCCAGTTTGGAAGTAATGGCGAATCGCTTTGGCCACGCATATTGATGGTGCTGTGAGTGTGGTGTGCTAGATGGAATATGTCAGGGATGAAGCGCTGCAGGATTATCGCGAGTAACTCACTCCTTCTGATTCTTGCTGGAGCAAACCAGACCCAGGGAAGATCTGGGACATGTGTTGGGCACTGAGGCGGTTAGCATGGATAGCCACTAGCGAGGAACCAATACACACCTGTGCAGAGGAGTCACTGGATCTAGAGTGTTTGATACGAATAGCATAGGGTGAGCGGTAACAGCGCCCCACGGCCCTGATATCGGTCAGTTTCGAACGCATAAAGGTCATGACAATAGGACATACCCGCGAAAGGGTACTTGGCCTTGGCTTTCCATCCAACACAGCTCAATTGTAATTGGGCCCAATAATCACCCAAAGATGCACTGTCGGCTACTAGGTTAGACCATTCTGCCTGGAACTGCTTGGTATTCGGAGTCGTCAAATATTCGGCATCCGAGCACATAATAGCAGCCATTGCATAGAGCACGTTATCCTGTGATGTAGCACACTCTGGCGACCAAGGTCCAGCAAGACTGCATTTGTTGGACAGACATGCACCGAAGTGGCTACCATGCTTAAAGTCAGCCATCGGAGCTGCATTCCCCTTGGCTAGCTCAGTCATTCTGTCTGCTAGGATGGGGAATGCAAGGAGGGGCTGGTAGATGGCAACGCGTTGAATGTCTTTGATGTCGGACCAAGTCACAACTTCTGGCCCCCGTTCCACAGATGCCATGACAGGAATTGAGCTGTTGAGAATCTGCTTCTCAAGTTGCCAGTAGACTGCCCTGATGGCGTCTGGACCACCCTCCACATAGAAGGGACATCCCACGGGTCCAGCCTCATTACAGTACTGGCCAAATCGATCAAATATGGCATCTGCGTCAGCAATAACGTTCGGTCCTATTCCCTGGTAGTACTTAACCATATCGACTACACCATCGAGAACAGCCCGCGTGACTCGTTCCGGAAAGAGCGAGGCAAAGGTGGTGCCCAGCACGGTACCGTATGAGCGACCCCAATATAGAAGTGGCTCCTTCCCGCGGTGCCATTTAGTTCGGTTTGAGACCGCGTTTGCTTCATCTAGTCTATGACACCTGTTGTGGGCTATCATGGCTCTTTGGCCCTCCTTCTCGCGCCATTCTCCGTGGCGTTCGATGATGGTCAGCATGTCCTGTGCAACGAGTGGTGTATTGACATAGGACATCATTGGCTCATCCGCTCTTAGACTCGACATATCGAATACTGAACAACCCAAGTTTAGCGCTTGGGTCCGCTGCCAGTTTCTCTGTAGGGACTCCGGCCCACTTCCCAGCATGCCTTCTGCGGAGACTTGCAACTCCCAGTTCCTTTGGGATACGGGATCAGGAAAACACATCACCGGAGGCGTTGTGGATCCTACCCCACGGGGATCAAACCCGATAATATCAAAATATTTGTTGCCAGACTCTTCTCCAGTCTCTTTTGGGTCAGCCTCCGCATCGATGATCAACTGGAGACCCCGACCCCCCATGAACGCTTGCATTGTTCCCGGTCCACCAGGCCCACCTGTGATATGAGCTTCAATCATCATATCGAGTGCAGATCTACTCACCCGGATTGATCAGAACTGCGCCTCCATACCGTGGGTCTGTGACTGGGACCTTGGCTGGTAGTCGGACAACAGCGAGGGCAAATGTGCGACCTTTTCCGTCTGTCCGCTGGTAGTCCATAGGCACTTCCAGTCTTGCGCATTGGAACTCATCCCCACAATTGTGATACTTGAGCTCCTGGGAAGGAACGATTTCGTCCCAGGTGACTGGGATGTCCAAAGGCTCGACCAAATTCCATGAAGGTAATGGAATAGGCCAGACTAAGAGAATCAACACGGCTGCAGCCAAGGGTAATCCCCAACGAACATATCGATGAGGTGCCTGGCGTACCTGGCGTACCTGGCGTACCTGGCAAGGCGGTAAAGGCGCGGATTTCATCACGCGCCCAAAACAAAAACACACGAGACAGTCCAAATCCCACAGAGGGCACTTTTCCAAAAACGTCTGAAGCCCAAATGGCCATAGGCCGAGAATATAAACAAGAGAGAAAGTCGGGAATCTGACAAGTCAATGAGTCCAATCCCGCGGGTCCCGTCAAGTGGGGGGATTTCCTCTTTTCTTTTAACCCGACCTATAAACACCCCGATCATCGATATCATTCAATATATCCTGTATCCTACTGGGATATTGGGGGTTAATCTATCTCGAATTGAATGCAATACGATTTGTTCAAATCAAAACAAGATAAGTGCTAGAGCAATAGGAGAAACACCTACATATCTCCAAGGGTCCATCAGCCAAACATCCTTCTATTAGTTCGCTAGACCATACTCAAGTCAGCTTTTTCAATACTTAAAGAGATCCTTAGTCTACATCACAAGATGATCGTTCCTTAGAAAGCGATTAATTGGATAGCATTATCTAGCTTTTTGGCAGGACTTGAACTACTCTTCAGCCACAGACGACTTGTTCCCACAAAGAAAAGTGCTGCTCATCTTCTCAGCCTCTTCATATCTCTCCTCCAGTAGCATAGCGACAAGATCCTCGCGTTTCTTTCCCATCGCCACAGTAGGGAGGCTTGTCCGAGCATCCTTAAATAGGATAGAAGCTACTCTATCCAAGGCCTACAGAGATCCACGGCATTTCTATTGATCTAGAATATATTAGCGATAAAAAGAGTATGAAGGGAATTTGTAGACAATACCGAGATCATTCACATTCAATTCAATTCAGATTCAGTTCAGATTCAGTTCAGATTCAGTTCAGATTCAGTTAGTAAGATAGTAAGATAGTAAGAAATCAAGAGTCAAGACTTAACACTTAGGAGTATAAAGAGTCCGGTGTTAAAAAATTAATATCGTATTTGTTAAACAATCTCCTATATATATATTTCGTTATTTACTAAATTACTATAATCGAGCAGAGTTTAGATGGTTTTAGTAGGGTATATAACCCCCTGCATTTCTAGTTTAATCAATTAATAATTCTTCCTCTGCTTTCTCCCCACATAGTAACAGGTTGCCCAACAGTATTCATTTATAAAAATACTATATAAAGTAACTATAGATTCAACAATGGTACTTGTGAAGTGAGAGATCGAAATTATTGCCTGGCAATATGAACCAATGAGAGAGTTATGTGTCGGGTGGCTGGCATAGTCGCCCGTAGGCCGGTATTTTCTTGCCCTCGGTCGAATCCACATTTCTGGTTGACATGGTGAGAGTGTATGTTGGCAGCCGCCCCTACTAATTATGGCTGAGATAGGGATCGCGAGGATGGAAGCGAGAAAGACACTGAAAGACACTAGCTGCGGCAAGCTTACAGGAGGGAGGATGAGAGAGGATTGTGATGTTTGGTGAGAGGTGAGCAAGAGGGCAGGCAGCTGCCCAAAGGGAAGGAGCGACTGCCTGCTGTAAATTCTCGAGGACCAAAGGCTACCAAATGTAGAACTCTATACTTCCTAAATGCTAGACTACTTCGCTGGAGGATCAGATATGTTCATTTTTCATTCTGGCATCATCTCGCTCCATCGCCCGTTGTCGGATGCAAAGAGGTCACTTGTTAAGTCCTCCAATCAAATCGCAAAGCAACCTGGCACGAATATTGGAAATTCAACTACCACAAAGAATCATGCAGATAGGATTCCGATGCTACCAAAGGGTTGGATTGTATCGCAAGGCAGATATGCGGAGAACCTCAGTCCGTGAGGGGAACAGGCAACTGCGACATGGCCACTCAGCTACAAACCCCAACTGCTACTGCAGCAAACAGACCTAATTAGATGGGAGTACAAAGTACATGGCTGCAGGAAACGACAAACAAACAAGAGCCGCATCGACATAAAAAGAAGAAAAGGCCTCCTCTCCCCAGACTTCTTTAAAATTGTACATCATGGCTTCCAAACTACAAGATCACATCGATGCCCTGCACACCCTCCCTCTGGCCGAGGCCATTCAAGCAATCGTCGACCTGACACCGGGCCTCACAAGCGTCGTCCCTCGGGAATACGGCTACTTCGTCCAACACCCCGACTACGACGGAATCGGCAATCTGAACAACATCGGCAGCCTCTGGCTGAAGCTCGGATCGCGATGTTACGATGAACATGCCTCCCTCGAAGTGCGTCTCGCCCACACTTCCCTAGACGACCCGATCTACCAAGTTTACGGCACCAGCTACGAGATGTTGAAGAAGGGACTCGCTGATGGGACTGTGGCACCACCCGCCCCCAATGAGAATCATTACTGTGCTTGCTGTAGCGGTGAGCCCAGCGCCATCATCTTGGCTTCTTTCCATGAGCGGCAGGCGTTGTATTTTACCAAGGACGAATACAGGGCGCTCTGGGGGGATGAACCGAATTCGGGGGAGAGGTTTGGTAATGGAAATGGTTGGGTGAAGGGTTGTATCAATGCGAGCAAGGAGCAGCTTGAGGAGGCTCTAGCCAGGCAGCCGGCTGTTGGCATCCCAAGTATGCTTTAGCAGACCTAGGGTAAAACCACATATGCAGGAAAGATCGCAGCTGATCACGGTGGATATCGGAGAGATAATTCATTAATGAAAAAAAAATGAAGAAAAGTCATTACGACTGCCTTGCTGTAAATATTTCGCAACGCCCTAGTATGTACACGGAAAAGTTGGGAAGATTGATTGCAGGGAGAATTCCTCCATTACCCACCTCCCTCCGATCTATCCCCGTGTGAAGATGTAATAAAGATGTCGGTTTCATCGGAGCTTCGTTTCGAAGCGATGCTCTCTCAACTAAGTCGATCTGCTTTAGTCGCTGCGAGGTCGCTTTCGAGGGTTGATAACCCGGCGACCAAGAGACTCGGCGCGGCTGCCGATGGAATCCTCGACCCGTTGGAGATATTCGACAAACTCATAGTAGTTATCGAAGTCTAAATGGGTCTTATCGGCCTCATTGCGAACCCTGTTCATCAGATGCTCAAAGAGATGGCGCATGCGGTCCCGCTCCGAGTCGTTATTCGGGAAATGCGGCACCCACTGCTGCATCCAATTGGAGAAATCAGTCACGGACTGGGCCGGTCGCTGATAGCTATCCATATAGCGCGACCGGGCAACATCCGGGTAGACTCCGCTCTGGAGCTGGTGAATAAGGAAAGTACAGAAACTGGCGTAGCTGATCTTGTTGTCGGGTAGGTGACGTATGTGTCGCTTCCACTCATCCTCGATATTAAGGGCAACGTGCTTAAGCGCCCGCGTGACCTTGCGCTCATCGATCTTGTACCACTCCGGATATTTATCGAAGTGTCGCTCTAGACCCATAGAGAAGTTCTTGAACTCACCCAGAGCTCGTCCGTTGTATACTGGCACATTGGGCACCGGTGGGGCATGGGCGGATGTTTCGGGATGAAAAGGTCGGGCGGAAGGTTGAAGACTGGAATGGGATTCAGTCTTGACAACCGTTGGTGCGGCGGGGGACCTGGTAGCTGCTGCAAGGGCTCGCAATTGCTCGAGGGTCAAACCGGACCCGAGGTTGGTGGTGGGTTTAGGGGAAGGTTTGGGTTCGGACGGTTTGGCCTCGGACGTGCGACGATCAGCAGCTTTGGTCAGATGTGCTGGGGTGGTAATCTGCTCAGATCGGGCAGCAACAGGGTCCTTTTGGGCTCCATCAATACCAGCCTTGCTGTTCTGCTTCGTGTTGCCTCTGCATGGAGTCGAAGCAGGGGTGGCGGGGGAAGTTCCAGGGAAGTCGCGGCCAGAAGTCGGCTGCGAGCCAGTTCCAATTCTCTCTCCTCCTCTGCAACCTTTTGTTTGATGTCAATGAGCTCACGCTGCTTCTTCAGTCGGGACAATTGAGCTTGCGCTTGACGAATTTCCGCCTCCAGATCATCGGCAGAGCCGACAGGCTCTGTAGGTTCGGGGTCGGTGTTTTGGAACATCTCATTCAGAATGTTCCATCGCCCTTGAATTCGATCAATGTTGGATTCAGAACCAGGTTTGTTGTCTGGTCCCGACATGATTTTTTTTAATCCTTGCGCGTCGCAGATAAGATAATGTGCGGAGAAAGAAAGTTCCGATTCCGTGAAGAAAGTCTTTGTGGCCTAAGGCAGCAACTGGTTTCAAAGACGAACTATGTCAGAGAGTGATCATTGACAGTTTCAAAGGTTTCTCTTAAGATTTTGAATTGGGTTCTCGAGAGTTCTTGTAGAGTGGTGGTTAAGATGAATGGTTGCAAACGACTATTTGCTCTTATTGTCTCACCTCCCAGGTAAGTGCTTTCCAATCTATTACAAGCAAACACAGGATACGCGATCTATCACTTTGACATTAAAGTCAGAATATTCTCAAATTTAGGGCGTACTTAGTGAAGAATTATATAATGCACTTCGCCTACGCACATTAATACTGCAGCTAAAACGAATAGAGTGTTGAGATTCATCAACCAGGACATCTCGAGTATCTATATCAAAAGTTTAGTTCAGATGTATAAAGAGCCTAAGCCTAGTACATTGTTGCTCCTCTTTCTCCTTTCTAGATGATTCGGAAAAGTGTTGCCAAAGGCCCTATATCACCTTCTGCATTGTAAATATTTCGTTAACCAGATTTAGAGGCTACGAGAGAGCCAAAGCAAACACGACGAATGACAGGAAAAGATAACACCCATTCAAAGATTAGTTATAAGTTAATATATACAGTAAAAATTAATCGCTCAAGACAACCGGTCGCTCTCTATTTACCCGGCGAGCCAAGCAAGCACAAGAACTTCTTATCAGGGGTCGAGGTCAACACGTTCCTAACCAAGTGCCAGACGTTCAAATCATAGGCCTCACCAATGTGGCCAACGGGATCCAACGGACAGGTATCCTGAATCCAGCTATTCGTCACGCCTTCCTCGTGTACGAACGATGTTGACGGGGGTGTAACCAGCTCATCATGCTTGGACGCGATTATAGTGATACTGTTGCCGGGCTGCGCAATAGGGGTACCGTCATTCAAGCGATTGATGGCTGGACCATCGGGCCCGAGATCGTTGCAAGCAGGGCAACCGAGGGTATCGAGTACTTCACCGACGGCTGCACGCGACCCGTTGCCGAACTTGTATGCGAGATCGTAGATGCCGGCGAATGTAGTGGCATGGGTAGGCGGGGCGATGGATGCGATCTTGTCGATCAGATGGGAGACGCCCTCGAACTTGGGTACGTAGAGAGATTGGAAAGCACCCTCGGAGTGGCCGACGAGGTCGACTTTGCTCTTGCCGGTCTTTTCCACGATTTCTTTGATGTATGCCGCAATTTCCGGGGCACTCTCGTTGATTGCTTTCAATCCGCCAACTAATGGGAAGCCATCGTATGCACCGTATGTCCTGGCATATGTGCAGAAGCCTTGGGCCTGCAGCCAGTACTGCATGTAGTTCAAGTCCTCATAAAAAGTCGCGCCAAGACCGTGCAGGAGAACAACGGGGTTGTGGGAGCTCTTGCAGGAGAAATCATTGATTCCTGTTGCGACGGCCGTGGTAGCCGCGAGGGCAGAGAGTGCCAACTTGATGAATGAAGGCATTTTGTATGATTAGATGTGTTATTCGTAACATGGGGGCCCCATGCTGTTTATGAAGGATTCTGCAGGTACCCACATCTCCCTAATTTTTTTTCTTTTCCCCCATCTCCCTTAAACTATCGATTGTCGATTGATCAGATCAGCCTGTGAGTGGTTGATGGTGTCGATCTCTAGCGGAGCCAAATCAAATGCGATCTAGTCTCATCGGGCACATCCAATTAGAGATGCAATAATAAATTAATTCAGGACTCATCATTTCAGCTCATGTTCATCTTATTGTTGTACATTCCAAGACATTTGATTAATTTTGACGGAAAACCGCGGAACATAGCCCCATATACTAACTATTAGGTGAACGATGCCATTATTAGAACTCCCTGAGAAATGTCAATATAGGTAACTATATGCTCATGTGGGAATTGGGATTCATTTAACCACTGCGCAACAGCGCAACACTTATTGTATCCCAGTACCCTGGGTCACAGAACCCTAAGATAAAATAATAAAATCGTAGCTAAGGAACATCACGTCTATATAGAATATTTGCGTCCACACTACGAACTACCCCGTGTTCAATGGCGAGGATCCTTTTGTGGATAACTCTGGCATGGAGCTGCCCCAAAGTCCAAGAGCATGCCGCTTCTCAACTAGTTGAAACACCTCAATCATAAAGCGGCGCTCTGGGCCTCCGTCTGGGAAGGCTTCCCACGCTACTCGGGTGGGGAATGCAAGACGATTGATCATGTTGCCCGGTGCGGTGAGGATATAAAACTCCAACGAGCGGCAGATCCCACAACCCAAGTCGTATTGTTCCATGGGCGAGACGCGATCATCTGGCCGATTGTCGACCGAGGACAGAATCAACCGCACCGCGTAGTAGACACACATGGTTTGTGCGAGTAGCAGGTTTGGATATGTGAATTTTGTTGGGGCAAAAGTAGCCCCGGTGCGGAGGTCGCGGCGTTGGAAGATTGGGAAGCCCTGGTCGCCGTGTTGTTCGGCTTCTTGCGGTGGGCCATCAGGGTATGCGACAACCCAGTCTTCGTACCATTTATAGAAACGGGCTGTAAGCTCGCGTATTCCGTTCCAAAACGTAGACTGTTTGACTGCCATCTCTTGTGCGCCCATGACAGATGTAATTTGTGCTTCTTTGAAGGCATCGGATGCCGCCAGTAAACCTGGTACCGAGGTCGCTAGGTCGAGCAGATGGTGTAGAATGTCTTTTCGGGTCGTTCCTGCTGACCACGGAATGGTCTTCCAGTCATCATGGGCTAGGAATGAGGGTTGTCGAGCTGCCAGAGCGGCGCCAATCTAAGCTGTTAGATTGCGAGGAGAAAATTACGGAAGGCGTGTTATCTTACCCAATATGGACGGAGTTCAGTGAATAACAGATGTTCAACCCCATACATGTGATTTTCCGGCCCACGATGTTCGATCAAGCGCACTGCTCCTCGGACGTGAGCCGAGACACCACTCTGAGTAGTTCGTTCAACGCTCTGCTGGAGTTAGTATTGACCGAAAAGAAAATGCGTTTTGTGAAACGAACCTCGAAAGCTAGCAAGAGAGTCACAGTCACCAGGGTGGACTCTGATTTGCTTTTTTCGGGGTCCACCAACGCGTCCTGCAATGCACGCAGCACGCGGGGATAAAGTCGGAAACCGGATGCCTCGATCTGCTTATTCTGCACAGAACGACCAAAGAATGCCACCGAGACAGCCTCGAACGCGTCTGTGATGAGCGGTGAGAACATTCGAATGCCGGCAGCAGCTCGCAATGCACCTGCTTTTCCAGATTTTATATCCACTTCGGGGCTAAATGCATCCACAAATCTCTCGACGAACACATCTACCGCGGGTCTTTGCATACTCATAACCGAGATCGTGCCAGAAGAGTCGGACCCACTGCTCAGCGACGTGCGCTCGAAGTCACTGTCATCGTCATCATCACCTTGCAAATTATTGAAGTCGTCTTCAACCGAGGAACTGGTTAACAGGCGATTCCGGACCGGCAGAGTCGACGAAGAGGGCGAAGGATAATCGTAGGATTCATAAGCTGGGGTTGTCAGAACGGGTAACTCTTCATGCAATGGTTATACCACATACCTTCCCTGCCTTCCCATGGTCCAACGGGGACCAAATTCTTCTTAAGGCCGACATGTGCGGTCCGAATATCATGAACAAGGTCATCGACTAACGGGCTTGGTGCAGAGCGAATAGACTCAAATAAGCTCTCGAGCCGGTCTAGGCGCTGGAGATCTTGGGCTCCAGATCCTGCACAGACATCAGCAATTGTTCCATATCCACAAGGGTTCGGCACATGCTACAGAAAAGAGTAGGCGGGGCCTGCAAACGTACCACCATCCTGTTTATCGTCTATTCTTCCCCGAAGTTCTCGGATCTCCGCCCGTAGGTTCCGAATCTCCTCCGCTTGGCTGATCGGGCGGGCTTCTTCATCGGGGACGTGCTCATACACGCATTTGGAGGGGTAGCCATGAGCACAGCAGGCGTGGCAGGGCTTGACTCGGTCACACTGATAGCAGGATCCACGTTAGCCTTGCGCGTGATGCGTTGCGACCAGTGGGACGCATTGGATGGATACGGGAGCGTTCCGAGCCCCAGGGGGATCTGAGCACGATGACGGGGATGACGGACCTTGACTTTCCGGAGCCGGCAGACTTTACAGGACCGCGACTGACGGTTCGGGGTCTTCCTAACTAGTGAGTCGGGGACAAATTGTTGCGTACCACCGACCATGGTGGCAAAGGTAGCTCTCAAAGGGGGGAGAAGGAAACGGTGCCTCATCCCGAGCCAACGACACGGCAGGATTTAGGCGAGCCAGATTTCCGAGTGGGAGTCCGAGATCTGCCTGCTTTAGGGGTGGGCCGTCTTGCTATCATATGGCCTTGGCACTGGTTAGTTTGACATTAGTCGACGCCTCGGGAGGTTGTGATAGGTTTATGTACGTGAGTTGGGTGGAGTGACTCCGCCATTCTGACTCGGCCTGGATTGAGTGGTTTTGATTGGATATATTGACATTGCTCTGACTGGACACTGCCATGGATTTAACAATTAGGGGCAAGGCCAGTCGAAATGGATAAACTGTTTAATATTATAAATTGTACGGAGTACGGTGTACAGAGGACGGAGTGTAGAAGCAAAGTGGGAAGAATTCACAACCTTGACCGCTTGGATTGGAGGGGTGTCACGTGCATCGGTCTCCTTTCCATCCTCTTTCACTAGCATCTCGATAGATACATCTCATTAGTTATTGAATATGTCCACAACTACAACATACATTAAAAGACTCACTGAATGTGTGTTTCTTTAACCTCTCTGCATGCTAATTATCGAGTAGGTATTTTGGGTATACTCAGCGAACACTCCGAAAGACGTCAAAAAAGACATCCCGAAAGAGAAGAATTCTACTCCGTATACTCCTCTCAATTGGTGTTTAGCCAGTATACCAGGACTCAACATCTAGTCACGCTCTCAATCTATCCAAATTGGGTATTAATCAATGCCTAGATACTACATGCAATGAAAGAAAACCAGGAATGAAAGCTGCCATATACTATAGGTATAGGTGCTCCACGTGAAGATACAAATCCCGCAGTCTCCATGCTAGGCAAGAAGTATCGAGGAGAAGTACTACGTGCCTGCATATTGACACATATAGCACTCATCATGCTCCTTACCGTCCCAGATGAAGCTCGCTTTGGCTTGCTTGTGGGCCCCCTTCGCACACCACTTCCAGTCCCGAATGCACAACAAACAGATGTGAAGTCCTGCCATGTTCCACGGACGCAGTTTCTCACAATGCAGACAGCCAAAGAATTCAGGGTTCTGGTTCGTACCTGTGCCGATTTCGCTTTGCTGCTCGGATTCGGGTCCATTCGAAACTGCCTCTAGGTCTTCATCTTTGACCTGTTGGATGCCATCTGCTGCGGTCTTCGCATCTTCCCCTGGTTTGTTTGAGGTTTCCTCCCCATTCTTAGAGACGGTGGTGGTTGAGATGGTGATGACAGTGGTAGTTGTTGTGCTTTGTATAGAACTTTCGACAACGGGCGGTGCAACTGTGACTCGACTCTGGTGGCTGGGATCTGCGTGTGTACAACTTGGTTGCTCAGGCATGGGGGTAGATTGTGCCGCACCGGTGCTTTCAGGGATAACTCTCGTCTCTGAGTTGGTGAGGTCGGTGCTAGTTTGAGGTGCTGGCTCGGAAGGATGATATGGCGAATCTCGTCCCCGGTTTGCGCGCGCCCTTTTAACTCGCGATTTCTGTGTCATTTTAGTCTGGACCTCATACGCGAGCATATTCTTTTGCCCATCTGGGCATGTGATATACGCACATTTCGGTACTTTGTGCGGCAAGGCTCACACATTTTGTAAAAGTCCTTCCCCGAACCTTCAGATGTTCGAAATGCATCGTTCGGTTTCTCTTTCTTACAGATGCCACACCACCTAGTTTCTTCAGCCATGATTGGATGATGTGGCAATGTTTCAGAGTAAAGAAATCATAGGCTCGTAGGGGAAAAGAGGGTGGTCTCGAGTCAGAAAAGTAAGTTTTAAGGCTGGATTGAGAGTAAAGAGAGGTGGTTCAAGCAAAGAGGGGGCTTTAGAGAAGAACTGTTCTTGTAGTTGAAGTGGTAGATTGATATAGGTACGAACCATAGACAACGAAAAAAGTAATATCTAATTAACCCTCAAGCAACTAAATAGTTAATGCACATCTAAGTACCTCTAACTAACTAAGTACTGTCTAACTAGTTAAGTAACGTCTAGTAAGGTGTAAACATCTAATAGCGCCTTACCAGGTCTGAATACCGTGCAAAGGGTACAAGTACATCTAGATAACGTCCAAATAACCAAACATTGATGGAATAAATTTGGTCTTCGACTGTCACATTTCACTAATTAACTGAAAACAAACACTTTTTGCAACATTTCCTTTCTTACTAGCGCGTTCCATCTCACAAAGCGCTTGATCGAGAGATTCCATATCCCACGCATTCGGATTCGTTTGATTTGCAATGATTTCTTCATGCTCCCACGGCTCATCGGCACCCGGTAGGATCGGTAATCCTCTAGATAATTTTGCGGTTTCGATCATGTCCACTCTCTGTAGGAGATCATCATGCACCACACTGGAAACCACTTTTTGCATTGTGATGCCGGCAATGACATGGCGTAGATCGGGCTCGGCTGCGTGGGCCTCTTTTCGGATCTTCTTTAGTGAGAGTTCGTAGAGTCGATATGGTAGAACTTCGGAGTCAATGGTAGGGTTGTGACTTGGGGTTGGTGCGCCAATGAGTGTAACGTGGGGACTTTGTAGTTGGCGTTGTCGTCTCACTTGAGGGATGTTTCTGGTGAACAACCTGGTGCATTGTGCCGCGGACATTTTGGAGAATGGAGATCTCAATTGATGTAGATCTTGAATGATCTGGTTTTTTTTATTTTTTTGTGGAGAGAAATTAGGATAGATATATGGCTAGTTACTGAAGAACTGTGATTCACAAAGAAAATGGTTTACTTGTTCAATCATGCCACTTGGTAGTTGGGGTGGCGAGGTTGTCATGCCACTGATCTGCACCACCGTGGATTTCATTAAATAAAGTCCAATTGCTAGATTTACAAGCGAGGAACAATAAGTTATGATGTGAGTTCCCCTATGGAGAAAGATATATACATATATCAGCTAGTGACTCCGCCGGCACCAATTGCGTATCTATATATGAACTACAGTGACAAGGAAGACCGTTGGAATATACCAACATACATGAACACACATGAACATATATAAACCTAATCCCAGAGTGACTCACTTTTCTAAATATGAATTCATGACACAAATTGACCTATATTCATCAACGCTAAGTCAATGCCGTGATACGTGATACTTCTGCTTTACATTCCCACCATCGGCATCCTTCCCGATATCACATGGACACCTGGAATTGAAGATAAGCAATATGGATTGGAGCAACTGAAGTGATTGGAGGCATGCGAAGCTCTGGGCCTTTTACAATTCAATTAAAATATACACCCCGCTGATAGCCACCGCAACATCCCCCATGTTCAAACATCGGAAGGCGATGCCGATGTATCCAAAAGTTAACACATTTGTTCTACCCCACCATGAAATCATGAAGACTAATGCAAGCCCGTATCATACTGAGTCACCTCCACATAAGAATTCTAGATATTCTGGAAGTTCATTGCAATAAAGTCCATTGCAATATATCGTTTGTCGAGACTCACAAATATCACTATGCAAAAGTCAGCCACCGCATCTGTGCAAGAACCAGTGCAAGAGCCATGGCAATCAACCTCGACCAGCATGGCTGAATACCCCATTAGTTATCCCACTGGTCACAACTCAACCTTCGACGAAGAAGCTCCCCGGTCGGCTTTTTCTATTATCGAACCACCAGCCGAGCTATCCACACTCACAACCCATCTGACCGGTCATAGTACCGATGACACATTCCCAGATGGAGGCCTCCAAGCATGGTGTGTTGTAGCCGGTTCATTCTGTCTCTTGATGGGTACATTTGGCGTGATGAACACGACGGGAATTCTGCAGAATTACTTCGCTACTCATCAGCTGGCTAGTTATTCGCCTAGTGCAGTTGGCTGGATTCCGGGCCTGTTCACCTTCTTTGGTCTGTGTATCTCCGTCCAGGTCGGGCCGATGTTTGATCGATATGGTCCCCGGGGCATCCTTATAGCTGGTACTACTTGCTATGTAACTGGTTTTATTCTGCTCGCTGAAAGCCATCTTTACTGGCACTTTGTTCTTACCCTTGGTGTTCTTTCTGGAACTGGCGCTGCGCTCTTGAGCACAGTTGCGTTGGCTAGTGTGCCTCAATGGTTTGATCGAAAGGCAGCCCTTGCAATTGGGATTTCGATGTCGGGCGCCGGACTTGGCGGAGTGATATTTCCGTTTGTGCTCAGAGCGGGATTCAGCAGCCTTGGATATAAATGGACAATTCGATTAATGGCATTGCTGGTGTTGATATTGGGTGTGCTTGGAACAGTTCTGGTGAAGGCACGCCTTCCGAAGGGCAGAAGCAAATCAACTATCAACTTGCGTTCCTTGCAAGATGCGAGGTTCACCTGGCTGACATTTGGCATTTTTGGTAAGTGAATCTTGGTCAAGAATCCAGATGGTGAAAGAAAAAGAAAAGAAAAACTGACTTGGTGCAGCCCTTGAGCTCGAGGTTTTTGCCGGTCTAGGTCTGTATCCAACCTATGTGATAATGCAAGGCTTTTCTACCAATACCAGTGTTGTTCTTCTTGCTGTTCAGAACGTGTAAGTGGTATTTTTGATTATCTCTCAGGCCAAGCGCTGACTAGTCTGGCATAGAGCCTCTACGATAGGGCGACTGGTGGCTGGAGGCGTGGCTGATCGGTTTGGCCGAATCAACACCCAAACTGGACTCATTGCTCTGGGTGCATTCGCGGTTTTCGTAATTTGGCTGCCGTTTGGTAACTCCCTGGTGGGGCTTTATGTCTTCTCGGTCATCTTCGGGTTGGCTTCAGGATCATTCCTAAGTCTTGCACCAGCCTGCATCGGGCAGATCTCTAGGGCGAGCGAGGTTGGTGGGAGATTTGGCCTGACATATTCCATTGTCAGCTTTGCGTAAGTCGTTCCAAATCTAGTTCGGTAGTTCATCACTAATGGGAACTTCAGCACACTAATCTGTATCCCCATTGGAGGTGAGATGCTCGACAAAGTCGGGAAGAGAGCCATGGTGGCATATTTGGGAAGTGTCCTGATAGTTTCACTTGGTCTGTTCGTGATGGCCAGATGGGCGTGTTTGAGCTACCGTTGGAGGTGGCAGGCAAAGATTTAAGAGGTGATGAAGAGATGAGAGAGGAATCCTCTAGTTAAAAGTCGATCTTGCGTTCCAATTCATAACAATGCTATGACGAAAATTATTGCGTACACAAATTGGAAAATTAGCACGACACCTTTCTTAGTTGAAAGTCGAGTTGATTGTAATGCGTATATCGATCGTATGACAATCAACGCCATTCAGGAGATCAGGAGATGCTCGCAACCAAGTCGAGCAGCTAATTATGTTCCCCTCCCTGAGACTTGGTATACTCATCGCTGTAATCTGTCAGTGTTGGCCTCATGGAGGAAAAAACTAGGATCCCTACAGGTGCTTGTCGAGTTCATTCATATGCTTGCGCTGCTCCTTGAGCTTTTTTTTGAGATGCTCAAGCCTACCACGGGGTCAGTTTATATCTTGAAATTTAGTCAATGCAGTTAAACTCACTTCTCCTGCTCTATTTGCCGGATGTACATGCCTTCGTGTGCCGCCTCGCGTTTGGCGAAAGAGTCCTTCCTGTCGATGGTCAGATATGACGTCATCCATTTTGGAGTGTGCTATCCCACTCGGCCATGAAGCCCGACTTTGTCGAGCCCAGATCACCTGCACCCATGATTCTTGGGGTGGTGGATAGAGATCGCAGAATAGTTGGATTGGTAGTGATACGGAGAATTGGTCGCGAAGTTGCTGATTGCATGGTGTGGGGAGGTGTGGGCTTTTGGGTTTTATAGATCAGTTATGGATAGGGATGTTGTCTGTCAATCACACTGTGTACGGTAATGTACTTTGAGTCAAGTTCAATTTAAATATTGGATTGGGAGAATTTTGGAGATCAATAGGAGAGTAAATAGGAGAGTAGGTGATGCAGTTCAAACTATTTAAATATCAATGACTTCAGAGGTAAGTCAGGTGACACACTATATACGTGATTGGACAATATCATCACTTTATCTACATCTATTTAGTTACATAGTTATATGATACTATAGTATGATAGGACAGTCGTACTACTCGGACTCCATTCCTTTACCATGCCCGGATCGAGGTTGCTATACCTGGTCATAATGGGCCTCTGTCCCACAGTACTACTACTTTATATATACAAGGTGAAAACCCGAATCAAGAAATTGAGATGTCAAATCGAACATGTGAAATTTGCTAAAATCCTTCTACAATACATAACGGAATCCCTTCTGCAGCCGTCTAGCAGCCGCAATATCAATCCCTTCAATATCAGCTGTAGCCTGCAGCCGACGAATATCCTTTTCGGAAAGCTGCACTTCCTCATTCTCCATACGCTCCTGGCGTTTGTTGAGCATGCCCAAGTTGAAGTATAAAAAGAGGGCCGAAAGACCACCAACTAGCTGCAGCGCAATACAAACACCCATAGCCGTGGAGTAATGAGGTTTCTCGGTTTCGAAATACGTGTAGGGGGTCCAGATCGAAGCGCTGTTTCCAATAGAGTTGAAAAATGCAAAGGCTGTTTGGATTAGCTTGGTGGTCAATGGGGGAGGAACACAAGGGGAATATATAACTTACCGACGGCACGCTTGGCAGGTGGACGAGGAATCGAACTCGCGAGCCAGGAATACAGAGTTCCATTTTGGGCGAAGACGAAGACCATTAAGAAGAACGAGAAGTATCGTGCTCCGAAAGAGTCGGTTTTCATGAAAATCACAAATCCAATAATAGTGATCGGGATCGGGTAGACGAAGAACCAGAATCTCTTCTCCAATCTATCGGAAGCCAGGGAGTGACAAAGAGAATATACAACCATGAACAGATATGGGGGTGCTACCAGCACCAGTGTGATGGTTTCGGATAGGTCGAGAGTCTTTACCAAGGTCGGGAAGAAGTTCTGGAAACCCGCCGCTCCGGTAATGCACATGTATGCCAAGGCGAATACATAGGTTTTGATGTCGGTCATGGCGAGCTTGAATCCCTCTAACTGGCTTCTACCACCCCCTTCATCCACATCAGCCTGACCGGCCTCAATGGCAAGACGTCGCTGGGCGACTTTGCGCATCTCCGGAGACAACAGTTTCCATGTCTCTGGGAAATCGGGTAGAACAAAGCAAATGACCAGTCCGATGGCACAGGTAATGGAACCTTCGATAATGTAAAGCCACTGCCATGCCGAAAGTCCTCGGTGGCCTTTCAGACCGTTGAGAATACCAGCGGCGATAAGATTTCCGAAAGCTCCACTCAGCAGGGAGCCAGAGTAGAAAATACTCATTCGGAGAGCCAATTCCTGCTTTGTGTACCATTTGGACAGATAAAAGAGAATGGCGCAGAAGAAGGGTGCTTCGACCAAACCGAGAATGAATCGACAGGCCACAATGCCTCCATAGGTTGTGACTTGACTTGTCACTGCCGATACCAGCCCCCAAGCGCAGACGAAGAACCCAATGTACCAGGATGGTCGACCCATGTAGTTGAGAAGCATGTTGGAAGGTACCTGCATGAGAATATATCCAACGAAGAGAATGGAGAGACCGGTTTGGTATTTTGTATCATCGAGATTGAGATCCTCTTCGAGACCTTGGAGCTTCGCCGCAGC